GATGGGGCTGGATGGGTGGATGATGGGTGACGGATGTATATATTGATGTGTAGATGGCTGCATGGATGGATAGATGGATGATGGATGGATGGATGGATGGATGATGGATGGATGGATGGATGGATGGATGGGGGTGGATGATGGGTGACGGATGTATATATTGATGTGTAGATGGCTGCATGGATGGATAGATGGATGATGGATGGATGGACGGATGGATGGATGGATGGATGGATGGGGGTGGATGGATGGATGGATGGATGGGGGTGGATGATGGGTGATGGATGTATATATTGATGTGTAGATGGCTGCATGGATGGATAGATGGATGATGGATGGATGGATGGATGGGGCTGGATGGGTGGATGATGGGTGACGGATGTATATATTGATGTGTGGATGGCTGCATGGATGGATAGATGGATAGAAGGGGCTGGCTGGGTGAGTGATGGATGGATGGATGATGTATGTTTGTATGTATGTGTAGATGGCTGGATAAATAGGTGGTCAGTCAATGGGAATGGATGATAGATGACGGGTGGATGGGGTGGGTATGTATGTATGTATAGATGGGCGGCTGGATACATGGCTAGATAAAGATAGATGAGGGACTATGGGTGGGGAGATGCGTTATGGATGGATGGGGTGGCTGCTTGGACAGAGGATGATGGACTTGAAGCACTTACTGATGAAAGTCACATGACTTTCAATAGAGATAACACCTCAACATCAAGAAAATGGAAATTTCACAGCCAGGTCAGTAAACAGCGTCATGTTGCATGGAGAAAACATTGAAGTTGTCAAAGATTTCATTTTGCTTGGCTCCACAGTAAGTGCCCATAGAAGTGGTAGTCAAGGAATGGAACAGTGATTTGCATTTGACACTCAGTTGCAAAAGACTTTTTAAAGTGTTAAAAAGCAAAGATGTCACCACAACAAGATAAACAACCTGATTGTAAAATGGGCACAGGATTGGACACTTCACCAAAGAAGACATTCAGATGACCAACAAACGCATGAAGAAGTGTTCAAAATCCCTAGCTCTAAGAGAGATGCAAATCAAAACAACTGTGAGATATCATCTCACCCCATTAAGAAAAGCAAAATTTAAAAGAGTAGCAAGCAACAAATGCTTCTGCGGTTGTGGGGAAATTGGAATCCTTATTTACTGTTGGAGAGAGTGTAAAATGGTACAACCACTATGGAAGGCAGTATCATGCTTTCTCAAAAAGTTAGAAAAGTTGATCCAACAAGTCCACTACTGGGATGTACACTAAAGAAACTAAAACTGCCACCCAAATAGATACATGTATGCACATGTTAATTGCTGCATTGTTCACAGTAGCAAAGAGGTGGAAGCGACCCAAGTGCCCATCAACAAACGAATGGTTAGAGAAGCTGTGGTATATTCACACAATGGAATACTATGCAGCACTGAAAAACAAGGGTGACCCTGGAGGCCATTATCCATGACCCTGGAGTGAAATATCTCAGTCACAAAAGGACAAATGCTGAGTAATGCCGCTATTATAAAACAGGACTAACATGGGGCTTGGGGGTAAACTAAGAAAAGAAGGGATAAATAAAGTATACTGCATTGGAACAAATGAGGGAGAGAACGGTTTAAAAGAAATATATGATTAGGTATTATTCGCATGACAACAGTCCAGAACAGAAGCTGCATAGCAAAGTGGACCAGGTTGGGGGAGCGGGGAGGAAATTGTGCAACGATGAAAGAATTTTTTAAAAGAGAAAAGTGAACTGGGGCCTGGTAGAGAGGAAAATAAGCAACAATGAATGAGTGAAAATCCAAGTTCTTGGTAAACTTTTGTTAAAATCTCAGTTAAATTTTTTTTTAAAGCCATCCTGTCATTCTGAGGATTGAAGTGCACCAGACCCAGACCATGGCATTTGCATTTGTCTCACGTGCAAGGGAAAGCCAGGCTGTGACTGAGAAGACTGAAGGACTGGCCCCTTGAGTGGGGCGTGGCTGAGGAACGTTGAGGCCCCGGGGACTGCGGACAGACATCTGTCTTGGGAAAAGTTCAGCTAGAATGCTCCTTGGAAGCCAGGATGGGAGACTGCCTCGGCTGCTTTGTACAAGTTAATTAGGACTAGGAGGGGGGCCGTCAGGGTTGGTAGAAGACAGTGAAAAAGAGGGAGACCCTTGTCCCTCCGTGAGACACGTCGGCAGCACCGGAGTTGTGAGAACAGCACAGGACTGGCCAGGGTTCCGTTTCCCTGGATGTTGAGTCACCACCAGTGAGAAGGAACACAGCAGTGCGAGGAGTAACCCTGAAACAGTGTCTGTTCACAGC